GATGGAATATCATTCATCATTAGAAGAAAGTGGGTTACAAACGTGCCAACGTTTTAAACCGACAAAAATATTTATTTTCAGAAACAGGAATGCTTTCATTGTTAAAAAAAATTGCATTTAGTTTTTTTGCGATACATGTATATGAAATAATTTTAGTGTTTGTTATAATTTGATTTATGTGATCGTTTTTTGTGTATTGTTTATGTGTATTATGAGTTGATTTATTAAAATCAATTTTCTTTATATTACTACTCAATTTTGGAATAATGCATTTTTACGTACTTCAATAAATTGTTAATATGTTGAAACAAACCTCATTCTTATAAACTGGCCAGCCTATGCGTGTCGATGTACGAAATCTGGAAATTGGCGAATGGTGGAGATTCTTGTTCGTTCTCTGCCACTGTCAAATCAGAATTCAGGTACTAGGGAATTATTGATGTTCAGACACACATTTCACCATCAATTTAAACGCTGTCACACCGGCGAAATATGCGATTTAGTGATTGAATTATGATTTTCTTAAACATCAGATGTTTTCGTTAAAAAGTGTGATTCCTTTAACTGAGGGCTGGACTGCAACTTTTTGTGGGTTAAAACGGCTGTTCAGTAGGTTGTGCTCTTGCATTAGTGTGCTCCTAGCTTAGTGTAACGCTTCCAGGAAGTAGTTTCATGTAAAACAGTTTTATTTGTGAAACGTATGGAAAACAGCAGGCGTTGTTTTATCAATAACTATTTTTTTACCTTCTTCACAGATTTTCATTATTCAACTAGTACCACGGAAAAAGAGTTCACCATCATATTTTGGCCAAGGGAGCAAAACCGTGCTCTGACAGAATGAACCGTCCAACGACAGAGCCGAGCCTGCGCACTTAATACACTTCTGAGTACATTGCAAACATTTGCGTAGCTCGGTCACCCAATGATGTAACAAAACAGCGCTTTATGGTGAATTATCACTTTTCATAAAACTGCGTATAACAATTTAAGTCTCACACCACTTTCTTCCATCCTTTAAATATGTTTTCACATAATAGCAAATAATAATAATTTCACATAAAATTCGAGATTTTTAAACTCCATTCATAAATAAGTAGAAAAATTAGCGTCTTTAATTGCACTTGTAAGTGTATATTCTACAAACTTGAAGATACATAAATGGTGGTTCAAATTATTTTTTAAATTTTCTTCCTAATCAAATCACGATAATGTCAGTAAATTTCAATTCAACCAACAGTATTAATTAAAATAAATTAACACAATAAAAATTCCAACAAATGAAACTGCACACGAATTGGTAAAATCATTCTGCTTTTAATAATGTATACGAACACAATAGATGCTCCATCACTCCCATGTAGCAAAATTTAACATACTCGTAATTTTAATCTTGATACCTTATGCACATTATTTGTATTATTTTAATTGTTTTTATTAATTTATAATTTTTATTTTTATTAATTCAGACACTGCCATCTGATATTCTATATACAAGTACAACACTTTAAAAGATATTCATATGTGCAAACAAAACTCCAATCAGACCTACAGTTTGCGACATACAGGAGAATCAAAGTGAAGCGTCGATACATCAATTACAAGATATCCCCCCATTACGTGCCAAATTTTGAAAAATATTAATTTAAGCTCTTCTTCTTCTTCTTCTCCATTTCAGGGATTAGGCAGAAGTGCCTGTTCCGTCTTCGCTCTGCACATCAGGAACAATCTCTTCTGGCTCGGCGATATCTCTCTTCCCTTCGGTTGGTAGTTCATCACTAATTGTGGAATACGATCTTCCTCCATTCTTCGATATGCGCCGCCATTCTTTCCTGTTTTTCTACGATCCTTTCATTTATGTTGTATATATCTAGTTCTTTGCGATGTCTCATTTCTTTTCTGGTCTGTTAATGCAGCCTTAACTACCTAAGAAATCTCATTTCTGCTGCTTGGAGCTTACTTTGGTCTCTTTTTTTCATTATCCACGATTCACTTACCATTACAGGAGAACTGGAGCAGGCCATTGTCTTATAGAACTTCATTTTTGTGTCTTTCCTTGCTTTGTTCTGTTAGTGGTTCTGTTTATTATTCCACATATTGATTGAAAGTTTATTAGTTTAAATTTTCTATGTCTTCATCTGTGTCAATAACTAATGTAACAACCAAGGTAATTAAAATTTGAAGTTTGGTCGATCACTGTTTGTCAATAGCCCCGAACTATTTTTGATCGTAAATGGGGTATTTACTGCAATGGGCCATATAACTTTAGTCTTTCGTTTTAGAACTTCGGAGATTATACCTCTTTTCTCCCAGTTGATGCAGTGTGTGTATACAGCTTTTTTGCAGATCATCTTCACTTTCTTGCAGTGTTGTTAACCGTCATCTGCATAAAGTAGAACGTTATTAGGTGTTTATTCTGCTTCAACTGTATTCCAGAACTAGCTTATGCATCTCCATTTTTTAATAAGGTGCATCAATAAATATATTGAATCAGTGTGGAGATAACACATCCTGTTTAAGTTCCCCTATTGTTAATATTTCTTCAGTCTTGGGGTTTATGCAGTATTTATTATAATTTTTGGGTCTCGGTGACATATTTTTGATGGTTTTTATGAGGTGTTCAGGATAGCTCTTCCATCTGATATTATGTGTACAAGTAGAACACTTTAAGAGAAATTCATAGGTGCAACTCCAATAAGACGAATACTTTCCGAGATAGAGGAGAATCAAAGTGGATAATCGAGTCATCAATTACAAAACAACTCCCCATTTCGTGCCAAATTTCGAAAAATATTAATTTAAGCACTGCCATCTAATATTATGTTTGCAAGTAGAACACTTAAGAGAAATTCATATGTGTAAACCAAACTCCAATCAGCCGAATAGTTTCCGAGATACAGGAGAATCAAAGTGGAGCCTCGAGTCATGAATTACAAATCATCCCCCCATTACGTTCCAAATTGCGAAAAATATTAATTTAGGCACTGCCATCTGATATTCTGTAAACAAGTAGAACACTTTAAGAGAAAATCATAGGTTCATACCGAACTCCAATTAAACCAATTGTTTCCGAGATAGACAAGAAACAAAGTCGAGCCTCGAGTGATCAAGTTACAAAACACTCTCCCCCTCCCATTTTTTGCCAAATTTTTCAAAGTGATACGTTTCAATCTGTAACTAGTGAATATGATACTTTTCAATTCATGCGTTCTAAAAATAAATTTTTGACTTATTGTAATTGCCTGACTCATCTAGTTACGTGTGTGGGAAGTTACACGAAATTTGTTGGAATAAAATACATGTTCAAATATTTTGTTGTTGAAAATACTGCTCTAATTATCGTCAATTTGATAAATCAGGTCTTAACAATTCATGTAATTCCGGAGGTGAGCAAAGTAATTTTGAGTTCTGCTAATGTACTTGTAGGTGCATTAAAAACACATAAATATTCGTATCACTATACTTGTCAAGAGATTATGAATCGGTGTATCCTTCCTTGTGGCAGGGGGTGTTAAAAATCAATACAAAGAATCCTCAGACTTCTTTTTGTTCTTTACTTCTTGGATTATTGTTGATACTTTTCCATCTCCTTAAACTTAAGCTCCTGAGTTAAAATCAATGTTAATGTAGAAATAAGTGAAATTTTATCCACAGCTTACTCTAGTATGTTGTAAAACGAATACAGCATAGTACGTTGTAAAACAGAGGCACATTAATAAATACAGTCGGCTTAGATAACTACAAAATACATCAGAGAATTAGATTTTGGAATGAGATTGATTCGGAAAAATAGAGTTCATCTCCAAAAAACAAACACGTTGGAAAATAGAACTCATAAGTGATTCACTCAATTTATTCAAAGTATGAAGGCCGAAGAAAATATTGACTTCTCGAAGAAGACTATTGTTGGCCGAGGAGGGTTTTCTTGTGAAAATAAAACAGAAGCAAGGAGAAGAGAAAAATCCAGAATTGTGAAATTCGTTAATGGCTTACATCATTCATATTCAAGGAAAGAAGAAGAAATGATTTAAATTCATATTTGACTCCGATTTAAGTACTTCGTTCATAGAAATACATTCCGCAATAGCTGTCAATAGATGTCAAAACGTAGTTATAGTTTTGAACTTTATTTAGGAAAGCGATATAGATAATTAAGTGAAACGTGGAACGGTCTGTTGGGGTCATACTTGCAATTTAACGTTAAAGACTTCTAATTTTATTCGTTAAATAAAGGTTTTTTCGTTAAATAAATGTTCTCATTTAAAAAAATATCGTAATATCGATATTGTTCTCAGTCGATATTTATTATCGTATTGATATGTTTATTATTGACATACTCTCTGCGGCGTTCTTTGACCAAAATATGACCACAATATGTAAATGAGTAGAATCTTTATGTTAATTTCTCCACGCGAGCTACGGAGGGTAGTGTTGTTTTATCTGTGATGAAACGGTACGGGTTTTGCGCATTCTATCCTACTTCAGCCATTAAGCGTCAAGCACCAGTTTGCAGAATATTATTAGCAGGAATTTTAAATGCAACCTTGTATCAAAATTATCACCGCCTTTAGCAAGTCTTTGAAACAGATATATGAAGCATTTTTTTTAAAGTATAGGATATTATATTTCCACTACAACTTCATTGTGCTTGTTTTTATTGGTCGCAATTAAAAATTGTCACTTTATGCCACTTTAAAAAAGTCTCTCAACACTTCTTGCGTGCCATGCAACATGGCGGCCGGCGCCTGGTTTTTCAGACGAAGTGCCCGTGTTGTAGTGTTGAGGTTCGTGATGTTTGTAGTGCCGCGCAGAACGCCCAAAGATCGGTGCGCCGGAGTAGCCCATCCATCTCTTTCTACCATGGGGCGTTATCTCAAAAGTAGTTGATACCAACTACAATAAACATGTACATCTATCTTTCCACTTTGGTTCTTCACTCTGTGTTTTTATTCAAATGAACACGTGAATTCCTCGAGGCGTGTTGGCGAGGGTTGGGTACTCACCGCCGCCGTTCTGGTAGCAGATGTAGGGGAAGCGCCAGACGTTGCCGAGGTCGACGGCGAAGCCGATGACCGCCAGCAGGAACTCCACCTTCTTGTCCCACGTCTCGCGCGGGAGGTCGGGCGTCAGCGAGACGGTCACCACCTTGTTGGAGGTGGGCGTGAGGGCGACGGCGGCGGTGGCGGTGGGGGTGG